TGATTTTTTATTGAAATGTCTTTTTATTTCGGAAAATACCGCAACATAAAATAGGGTAATTTCTCGCCTCGATAGCAAGAAATTCAATATGGCTGCGGTGACTACCCAGAAGCCTTAACGCTCGAATTCGAACCGCGCGACGTACCCCGCGTCTTCGGTTAGCCATCGAGACGATCCGCCGGATGGTCATAGTGCATTCGACGAGGAGCGATAAACGGTGTTTCGATACGGACAATTGTCTGTTGAAGCTCGCTGCCCAGTGAAAGTGTCAGATGTTCCGCGGGACGAAAAGGAAAGACGGTCTGACTCACATGCGGATCGGATCGACGAATGACGCGTCCGTGGATCGACGATAAGCGGATGAGGGTGCCATTACATGGAGCGCGGAAGCGCAGAAACGCGGAAACGCGGAAGACAAAATTTACTAGATTTCCGTCGATCCGTTCCGTCTGTTTTGATTGCCTTGTATTACATGGAGCACATTTTGAGCGGAAAAGCGGAACGGAGAATTATAAAATATTAATTTTTAACGGTATTTATTGATTAAAATGTTTGTATTCAATAGATAAGCTGAAAAGATAAGCATATTAATAAAAATTGCAATGAATTAAGTAAACACAATTTTAAGAAATGAATACAAATGTCTATTTGTCACTATACTGTTCCGCTTTTCCGCGCAAAGTGTGATAAGGAGAAATAAACTTGCGGGATGAGCGCGTCAAATGTTCGTTCTTTTTCTCTGTACTGTTGCACGCAGATACCTCAGATAGGTTATGTATTTTTATAATATATTCTATTTCGCTTAGAATATTGTGGACATTTCTCCATGAAATTGGAAAAGTGATTTAATTGTTATAAACTATTCGGTAAAACAAGCGCTAATACATAAGTGCCCTATAGCTGTGACTCCTGGTGCAGGCACGTGGCACGTGCGAAAGACTAAAAAAAAAAATATATATATATATTAAAAGTATATCATGGATCCAAATATCATGTTAATGATTATTATGAAGTTTCTCATACAAGCAAGAGATGAACCAATGAGACATGCAGAAATAACAATGAAAAAAGTGACTTCAATGTATTATTTGTACTTGCGTTACAAGAAATTGCAAGACAAAAAGAATCGAAGAATATGGGTACGACCTATTTTTACCGAAGAAAGAAGACTTGCACAAGGTGACAGCAACAATTTACTTGTGGAGATGAGATTGACAGATTCCGAAAAATACTTCAACTATCTCAGAATGTCATCAACAATCTTCAATGAGTTACTCAAGCTTGTTGGACCATTGATCGAAAAACAAACAGTAGTTCGAAAACCAATACCGGCTAGGACGAGATTGGAGGTGACTCTACGTTGGTTGGCATCTGGTGACAGCATGACATCGCTATCATATGCTTATCGCATTGCCCAATGTACACTATCATATCTTATTCCGGAAACGTGTGAAGCAATTTGGCTCTCTCTACAGAAGAAAGTTATAGTTGATTTAATAGAAGAAAATTGGAGTAGGATTGCAGAAGATTTCGAACTGATATGCCAATTTCCACACTGCATAGGCGCTATCGATGGGAAGCATGTCAAAATTTAGGTATGTATATTATGAATTTATTTACAATAATTAGGGTTCAATATATTACACATTAATAATGCAATGACATATGTGAAATGAGAAATATATATAACAAAATAATGGTTTTCAATTTGCAGGCACCGCCTCGTAGTGGCTCATGCTACTACAATTATAAAGGAAGGCACAGCATAAACTTTCTCGCAGTAAGTGATGCCAAGAACCGTTTTATTATTGTGGACATTGGAGCTCAGGGAAGGCAAAGCGACGGAGGTGTTTTCGAAAGCAGCGGATTACCGCATCTACTGGAAACGAATGCTCTCCATTTGCCTCTACGTACACATCTAAATAATATGGTGCGACGCTTTTTCCCCCGGTCTCGCAATCCGGTGGAGGGCTATCGTGGATTGGCAGCACGCGCAACTAATTCCGACACCAAAAGATTGGGCGCCAGGTGCGACGGATCGCACCACCGTACACAATTATATCTAACGCGATATTCCCGGCAATACCTCAGGGCGTAGGGCTCTTTTAGGGAATTCGGAGAGAGGCGTCACGCAATCAATCACACACAAGAGAATAAATAATAATAACATATGATATATTTAGTCAGGTAGAAGTCACTTGCAACAGAATAACGATAGGTGTAGGTATAATCGGTCTGAGCCTCTCGTATTACCGCAAAAATTGTCGGATAGGCTGACGCACGAATGCCGCATAAATAACGCAATAAGTGCACGCAGTAATGTTGAATATTAAACACTGTAGATTAACGCACGCGAAGTTAGATCAACGCAACACATAAACGCAGACGAACACACGAAAGCTTAACATAAGAAACAATTACGATTCAGGTATCGCGGTACCTTGCTTCGAACTCACAACGGACTTACGCCACGAGGCCGACGAACCGACTCGCCGCACCTTCGGTTGTTCCTTCAACGCGCAGTGGGCCACCTCGATTCCGCACGACGCAAAAATTATGGGCGATCTCGCCGAGTCGACCACGCTGGCCGGCGATTGCCCCCGAACACGAAATAAGGACTCGTATCGCAGACGATCCCGCGGCTTGCCACGCGAATCCCGAATTCTCTCGCAAGCACGGAGATTCCGCGGCCCCGCGCCGATCCCGTCGATCTTTCCGTCCCGCCAAACACAATATTCGCCGTCCTTGAGGGCCCGGATACGTTACTCAAATACGAGGGCGAGTGCCCTTCAAATTACATGACCACTCGCGGCTCGCCGTTACCCGCACAACTCGCTCTCGTTATCGCCACGCAAGGCATCACTCTCAATAATATGGCCAAGACGCGACACGAAAATAATAACATAGCTGTTGTATGTTAATTTTACATTGAAATAATAGTCAAATCTTGGTAACACAAGAAAATTTTAACATTTGGACGCACGATTTTTTACTGTGTGTGAACATAATCCCATTATCCTCTGCTTATGCGTATTGAAACCAACAAATTCTAAGCCAATGAAACAGTCGTTACCGCGTTCGAACGGTGCGATAGTTTCAGCATTAAGTCTGCCAGTAGCTATCATGATATCTCTAAAATTAACAGACGTATAAATTACATTAACGAAATTTTCATGGTTAATAATGCGAGACATTCTGCTCTGTGCCCAGCAGAGAGTACTCATATCTCCTTGTACCTGTTATATAAGTAAACATTTAATTAATATTATTTATTATAAAGTTTATAATAGAACATCTTAACATACCATCTGCGCAACGTAAGCCGTCTGAACAAGTTTTGATTCTAACGATGGTAATGGTAAATGCCTGTATGATCCCCAAACGTTACCGGAACGTATAACATTGATAGGTAGGTCCAACTGTAGCTGCTTCGTGTACAATGGTTCTTGCAAAGAAAATGTAGGCGCTTTGTCATCTTGAATAAATACGCTTCTAATTATTTTGCCGCCTGGTTCTTTTCGCAAACAATTAATAAAACCGAGTAGCTCGCATTCAAAGTCTTCTTCCGAGACGAGAATTATCTCCGTATCTACACCAGTCTCGTTTTGCACATTCATGATTGATTTCAGTTCATCTACCCCCGAAAATTCGTAATTGTTCACATGTACAATCCGCTGGTTTCTCGCAATATTTCGCGATTTTCTTAATAATAAAAGCTTCTTGTCATTTATTTGTTTTTCCAGTATAATATCCAACTCATACATTTTCAGGGATGAATAATCGTAGACCGCCCCGGATTCTTCCAAAGTCAGTAGAAAACCCTGTGGCATTAACAGAGACAGCAACTGTTTGTATAATTTTTTGCTATTTTTTGTTAAAATATCGAAACCAAGGACTATCTCAAACAATCCTCGTCCTTCGACAACTTCGTAATTTTCGTTGTAGAAACGTTGTCGGGCAAAGAAATATTTGGGAATTTCTCGTGGGTCGTCACGAGTTTAGTGTGGTGTCGAATCTGCGGTAAATCATTTAAGATTTCACTAATAAGTGGAGAATTTAAATCTTCTAGTACCACTTTGTCACTATCATCGACAAATTCGATAATTTTAACATTTATTATATTGCAACATTCGAGTGCAATGCGTCGACATTCTTATTGCATCTTGTAACGACATATTACCTAAATCACGATGAGCAACAAATTTGTATTCTTCAAGCACGGTATTTACTACTTTGTCGGCGAGATATAGGTGTAGCCACAGTGCCACAAATTTCTATTATCTTATCCTTCTTGGAATAATTTTACATAAAAAAAAGATAAAGAGAAAGAAGGAAGATATTATTATTTTGTTACAAAAAATTTCTTTTAGAATATATTATTATTATTTAATATATTCAATAAAGCGCTTAGACATTTTTTTCTTCGAGAAATTTATTTTAGAATGTATGCAAAAATATCTTTTTAAACGCTATATAAACATGTAGTTAAATTTATATTAATAAATATAGTTAAATATATATATTTACCTTAGTTGTCTATATTATATTTCTAATATAAGAATATATATTGTAACGGCCTGACTTTATCGAACGCGGACTGGCGTGCGGGATCAGGAGTCCGATGAAAGGCCCAGAGACAATAATCAATTTAGGTGGTACATGCAGTAGTTTATTCAGCTTAGCTTATTATATACACGAAGTGGTATTTTATATAGCGCAGGGACGGGTGGAACGCGATATATACAACGACGGGGCAGTGCGGGTGCACTCGATAACGACGCGGTATTTAATAACGAACGCGGTATCGTTACTCGACGGGCTCGGTATATTACATAGGCTGCGTTCGGGAAGCGCGCTATTAGTGCTATTGCATCATTCTATCTTTATCGCTCATCAGGTGTAAAACAAGGATAAAATAAGCAAATAGTACTAATAGCGTTTTCCCGAACGCACCTATAGACGTATTACAGTACATAGGCGGACGCGGTATATTACAGGTAGTGCATGTGCACTCGATAACGACGCGGTATTTAATAACGAACGCAGTATCGTTACTCGACGGGCTCGGTATATTACATAGACGTATTACAGTACGTAGGCGGACGCGGTATATTGCAGGTAGTGCATGTGCACTCGATAACGCCGCGGTATTTAAGATACTGGACGGATTCGGTATATTGCCGTTAACACCGGTACGCTCGCGGATGCCGCGGTAATATGCGTGCGGGACGCGTTATGCCCGTATCACACTAGCGATTGACGACTGCGTCTGCGTTTGCGTTTGCGTCTACGATATCTCTTGACCAATGAGAAAGAAGCTGCTGGCGATTGCGATTCACGATTTCTATTTGACGACTGCGTTTGCATTTGCGTTTGCTTCTACGATTATCTCTTGACCAATGAGAAAGAAGCTGCTGACGATTGCGATTCGCGATTCCCATTTAGCCGTCCGTCTATTTTTCATAATGGTGAACGCAAACATAACCAATCACAAAGCGACTTGTAGTCATGTGACCAGTAGTGACACATATAATTCATGTTGTATTGGAACGAAAATTGAAGAGATCTGGAAATTTACGAACGTGAAATCTATGTTAATAATCATGCCACCGAAGAAAACTGATTTATTTTCCAAAGATATTGAGTTTACATTGATCAATCTAGTAGAGTGTAGACCTATCCTATGGGATTGTACATCTGAGCTCTACAAAAGAGTAGATCTGAAAGAAGAGGTTTGGGAAGAAGTGGCCCGTTCTTTAGGACCTCGCTTCTCAGGTAAATATTGTATTATATATATTAATGTAGAAAAAAACAAATTAAGAAATTATTTCTATCAATAACTAATACATAACATAGTACATAACATAGGTTATGTATTGATTTTGTGTAGTTTTCAAATTAACACATCTGTGTATAATGCAAAAGTTAAAAGAGTTTATGTGTACAAATAAATTGCATGCCTTTAAAGTAAAATGTCCTCTTCTTTTGTAGGGTCTATTGTAGCAAGCAGATTTAAAAGTATGAGAGATACTTTCATGTCAAATTTGAGAAGAGTGAAAGAGTCCAAACGCAGTGGAAAGGGCACTGCGGATATTTATATTCCAAAGTGGCCTCTGTACGATCGCTTAAAGTTTTTACAAAAGGCAGCAGTTCAGAGTGCTTCTATCTCAAATCTCACTATTTCCTCAGAGAAACCTGATGATACTATGTCACAGATAGAGGAACAAACGTCAAATGAATCATTGACACAGTGGCCACCATGTATAGCGGAAGAGGCTCAAGAAGAAATTGTTGCTGAGAAATCTACAGTTTTAAATGTTTATTATGACTCTACGGAAGTAAGACTATTGAAATAGTGCTTTGACAACGTTTGAACATATTTTATTGAGAAATTAGTACAATAAAATTATTTGTTGCAGCAATTTATGATTCAACCAATGGAAGAGTTGTCCGATAATTCCACAGATTTATCAATATCTTCTAGAAGTGTTGCAAGCACAAGCCACACAGTAAGTTGAAGCAAGTTGTTGATATTATAAACTTCCAGAATATTAACCTCTCCTCATGGAATATTTTGTATTCACAGCCAGCAGCATTAACAAAGCCTTTATCATCAGTTCCCAAAATACAAGATGCTGAGAATCAGATGTATATTAAACGAGGACAGGCTAAAAGAAAGTCTGACACTTTAATGGAAGAAGCAGTTGGTGCTATTAAAGTTTTGTGCAAACCGGAACCAAAAACTACACTTGATGATTCATCTACACCTACTGACTCTGCTTTTACATTAGGATCGTTTATCGCAGCAAGATTGCGTCAAATGACACCTGATCAGCGTAAACTGTGTGAAAATGAAATATTAAAACTACTGTCTCAGTTTTAAAATACATATATAACATTTTTTTCTAAACATAATACAATTAAAAATACCTAATTACCATTAATCTAGTAAGCAACTATGCGTTTCAACATATAGAGAATGTTATTTTTAGTTTGAACATACAGATTTTATTTGTTTTATTTTATTTCTTTAGACTTGATAGAAAGATTATAACCTTTACTCATATTATAGCCTTTACTCATATTAAATGTTATCTACTGATATTTCTTATGTTCATAATAGAAAAATAAAATTAATCCTTTGTTTAAAAAAAATACAAATATTGTTTATTTATAAATATTTAATTTCCAAATATATTACACTGTAGTAAACACAAAATAGGAAGTTCCACAAAAGTATATTAATTCAAAAGTATATCATTTATCAATGAATTGCTTCATCTTGCCATGGTACTCTTCCAACGTTATTGAAATATTCACATAAAGTCTCTCGCATTTGCAAAGCAGCAGAAGCATGGCGGTTGCCTCCTTGATGTTGCAACTGTATTAAACCTTGTCCTTGTGCTCTTCGCCAATCTCCATATTGGAACTGACCTGTCATTTCATTTTCCATATCAATGTATCCTGGTGGAGTATACATTATACGGCCTACACTGTGAGATCTCAACATGTTATGAAGACAACAAATGGCCAGTACAATATCACGAGCATCATCTGGGTCATATCTCATAGGAGATCTGAGTATATTAAATCTGCTGACCATAACGCCAAATGCGTTTTCCGAACATCGTCTTGCTCTAGACAATCTGCAATTATTAAATGTAGAATTTAATTAATACTGATTTATAAAAAAAACACCTATTTCTTTACTTTTATTTGTAGTTACCTGTAGTTATAAATTCTTCTTTCCTTTTTGCCTGTACATTGTTCTTTAGGATAAGGAATAAGCACATTTGTAGATAGAGCAAAACCTTCATCTCCTATAATCACATAAGAAAAATCCTGCTCGGTACCTGGTAGAGGGCTTGGTGGAGGTATATTAATGTCATTTTTCTGCAAATGATGTTTTAGGGTACATTTATTCCATATTCCTTTGTCAGATACTCGCCCATTTGTGCCCACATCAACAAATATAAATCTGAGTTGAGCATCCACAAGCCCCAAAAGCACAATACTGAATGTTTCCTTGTAATTAAAATATGAAGAACCAGACTGAAGTGGAGGATCTATCAGACAGTGTTTACCATCCATGGCACCCAAGCAATTCGGAAAATTCCATCTTTGCATATAATAATGAGCAATTACTTTCCAAGCTAATTCACTGTCGGGAAATTTAAGATGTTTTTCTTGCAAAACAGAAATGAGGGCACAACAAGTATCCTTTATAATTCCTGATATAGTGCTTTGCCCAAGACGAAAATGATAAGATAATGATTCTTGACTTTCGCCTGTACAACAGACAACAGAATTGTTTCATAATGGAAAATAGGTAAAATATGTAACTTGCTTGAAACAGACTTGTTCTACAACCTGTTGCTAAATGACGTAATGTCACAGCAAGCCTTTCTGCAGGTGAGATACTTTGCCGAAGGTGTGTATCCTGTCTTTTAATTAATGGGCTCAATTTTTCCACAAGATCTTCAAACATATCTGGGGTCATACGAAGACATCTGATAGAAAAATTTAGTATTATTGAAAGCGATTAATTAACGATTTATAGTTAAATCACATTCTGTTGATTATATTATAACCTATACATAGTCACAGAAAAAAAGATTTTATACCTACCTGCGATACTTCTCTGGATCTTCTAGTTGTAACTCCAAAAAAAGATTACGGAAACAACCTTTTTGTGTCCTTCTAGCTACCCATGGTTTAACCCATATTCTTTTCTTACGAAATGCTTGTCTCTCTTTTTCATGCCTCAAAATTAGAAACATCAAAATAGCGCAAATTCTTTTCTTCCTGTACCGATCCATCTTTCATATAATCAGTAAACTTAATATAGTTGTGTTTGCAAGTATAAAAATGTATTTTTTCCCCACAATTTTCAATTTTTTAATTCTCATGTATACACGATCAGTCGTCCGTTGCTTGCAATCACTATGTGAGACAAATAGCTAATCGCAAGCGCAAACGCAAACGCAAACGCAAACGCAAACGCAAACGCAGACGCAGTCGTCAATCGCTAGTGTGATACGGGCATAACGTAGGATGGAAGATTTCCGGAGCCCCGGGGCGGCGGCAGCGAGAGCCCTCGTTGCGAGGCCGAGCGCGCTCGACCCCGCGTAACCGTGCCTTGGGTTAGTTCTGAGGGAGTGCGGGAACACCTGAGAGCTCTCAGTCGAGGCTCGGAGCACCGGACCTCGTTGGCGTGTTCCCTAGGAGTCGGGAATAGGTTTCGTCTTGGAAGTAGCGGATCTTTAGACGAAGTCTCTTTTTCTCGCCGGAGCGGCGGTTTATATATAAAAAGAATTCAACGTACGATTACACCTGGACATCGAAAACTATGAAGCGCACTATTTGGATCTTGTCATCAGCAACCTGGGACACGTGGACATCGAATTCAAGGTATTAATACACGTAGACACCGAAAACTACGGAGCGCACTATGTGGACCTCGTCATCGGCAACGTGGGACACCTAGACATTGAATTCAACGTATTATTACACCTGGACACCGAAAACTATAGAGCGCACTATCTGGAATCCGTCATCGGCAACCTGGAACACGTGGACATCGAATTCAAGGTATTAATACACCTGGGTACCGAAAACTATGAAGCGCACTATGTGGACCTCGTCATCGGCAACCTGGGACACCTAGACATCGAACTCAAGCTTGATTCATAAGAATCGACTTAAAAATTCCCTAGCGGCAGAATCAAGAGTGTCTCGCGCCAAGTACACGCGGAGCGAGACCGACCGTGACTCTTTTACGCGACGCGACGGGTTGCGAGTACTTGAGATGTTGAGATCTCAATAACGAGTGAACGGATCAAGTTCTAAGTAGGCTTGATCGATAGCTCGGGGTCCAATTAGGGGGGGGGGGGGGTTTCTCTTATAATATTCCGCTTCGTGCCCTACGAGCGCAGATATTGCGACGCAAAGTCCAAATGTGAAAATTTTTTATTAAGATACTTCTTCTTCTATCTACTTCTAACGCCGACGTCTTATATGACCTTTTTCAAAAAGAGGTAAAGAAATGCGCCAAGTACACGCATAGTAGTATATATGTATTATGTTGTTACCTCGAAAAAAACAAAGTGGTAGTATTATACCTCGAAATAACACCCTGTACATACTGTTTATACAATGCGTAATACTACAAAAAGGCGTGATATCTGTACAAAATTACCTTTTTTAAAAAAAAGGTAAAGAAAGGCGCCAAGTACACGTATAGTAGTGTATATGTTGTTACCTCCAAAAAAAAACAGTGGTATTATTATACTTTAAAAAAATCTAAGTAACAAATGGTAGACGAAATCTTTGTATCTTGAAAAATCTCGAAAAAACCTAAA